ATAAGTTTGGTTAGGTCCCCTATGCATTTACGATACAATGAAAAACAGTCGCTTTAACTTGCCCTATATCGACAATTGTGATTACAGAGTGGTGTAAACTACAAAGAAAGATCATGGTCTTTCAAACCTTGCAGGAATACCGAAGGAAGCAAGAAGCGAGATAGAAATCAAGAATCAAGTCTTCAACAAGTAAGCCTATACTTTAGGTGTTCTAATTTCATATAATTCTATTTTATGATTTTTTACATTTGGTATCAGAGCCCATATTATATAATTTAGGACCATTTGTTTCTTATTGGACATGATTACATCTTTTGGGATTCAAATTTCTTCTCCTCTTTTGTTCTTGAATATGTAATTTTTTAATTAACCTTTTTAAAAGAGGTTATACCCATTTACCTTGGGGCCTTTATAGAATAAATAATAAGGGTTTGATTGAGTGATGCCTAAATCATTTTTGTCAACTACAAAGCAACAAGAGTTTCAAAAATTATTTTCATGTTAGGATTTTTAAAGTCCTAATTTTGAAATTGGTGCCGAATATAAGTTTTATATTGATGAGTTTTAATTTTATTTAGTTTCAAAAAAAAAAATTAATTTACGTTATGCTTGCTGCATTATTTTGTCGAACAAAAAGACTTAAAAGAATCACCTTTTAGTTGTTAATCGTATCATTGGTGATGCTAGCTTTTCTTTTTCTTTCAACATTAATAAATTTAAGTGTCAATTTCAACAAGTTAAAAAAGATTCTTGACCATTGTTGGAAAAGCTTGTTCACGGGTCAAAAGTGTGATTTGGGATTAAAGTTTTTGTCCTTAGTTTTCATTATTGAATGTGTAATTTCACCTTTTTTAAAATAAAAACCTAATTCAACAATGTTTGTATTAATTTAAATTTTCTCAATCTATTGATTTTATGCAATACAAAGAGAGGATTTTAAAACTTGTATTTACGGTTTGCTCCAAAATCCACTGTTAATTTTAAATAGATAACGTGATTGGTTTTGCGATCTTATATTTGGATATATAAATAAGTATTGCTATTTTAGTGTTATGTATAATGAATTATTCAAGAATTGTCCTTGTAATATGGTTATTTTATGTATAGTGATAACTCCTGAATAATAATTCATGTGGCAATGTTTAATTTGAAAAGGACTGTTTGTCCTTGTATCGCATATATATTTGATATTGATTAGAACAAATATTCAAAATAATTATGAGTTGTTTTTAATTAACATCAACTTAAATTCAACAAATCCTGGAAAAGCAATGCTTCATTTTGCATGCATATTATTTTGCCAAAAAAAACTGCTTGGAGGAATTGTAGCAAACCGTGAATGATGGAGCTCAGTCATGGATGTTAATGGAGGAACTCACTTCTTAGGTGGGTTGACTTGCTTGGTGAAAATAAAATTAATTATTTCATTCGACATCTAATGATGATAATAATTCTCCTTGAGTATTGTAAAAATGTTTATAATCTATGCATGTAATGTGTGCTCTAATATTTTTGTATAGTAGTATGCTTCTGCTTGAACAATTTAAGTGCAAATTTTTTGGTAAAGCTATTATTTTAAATCTATGACCAGTAGGGATGTTTCACCCTCTTATTGATTGTATCATGATTTTGGGCAAGAGAAAATTGATTCATGTGAAGAGTTTTTATGAAATACTATAGGTAATTACCACCAAAGTGGGATTGGTTATATTGGTTTGCGAAATTTTCTTTGAAAAAATTTAAGGAATGATTTTACTTATTTCATGCAATTTCCTACCCAAAGGAGATAATTGTGTGTTATAAATGTGAACTTGTTTAGGATGAAGCTAATGTAGGTGCAATTTTGGTCTAGGTGTTCTGTCTGCCCAAAGGGGACAAATCTGTAAAGCCGTTGTATACTCACTAAGCAACTTTTCTTTCAAGTTATAGATGAAGTTATTGGAGACTCATTGTTTTACAAATCTATCTGTTCAAAGGGAATGGATTTTCAAACTCAATGTTGTGCTCATTGATTAACTCAGACCTTGGTTTAGACCTTGGTTTGTGCATTCTTCCCAAAGGAAAATATTCTATTATGTTGGCCTTGTTATGACAACTATAATAACCCAGATAATTAAACTACATTAATTAGAATAATGTGAAATGAGAGGGTTAATTAGGATGGAAAGCCTAATTTAGATTTTAATCGCTTTTCGGGGTAAAAACATAAATAATAAAGATGGTTCAGAATGCAAATTATGTAATGTGAGGGAAACCCAAAATAAATTGTGCGACACACGACATTCAGACTCAATCACTTAGAAATAAAATTAAAACCCAAGAGGTGGTGGTGCATTGTGATAATGAGATGATGCTAGGGGAAAGAAAGTAACTTCTCATTTAGATATTTTCTAACATAAACACTCTCTCTTTTTCTCCTCTTACACCTCACATTTCCCACATTTTTCCCTCTCTTTTGTTTCCCTCACGTCGACCTCCCCTCTCACTCTACCACCATTGTTGAATTTTCTTCACTCTTCAAGCTTGAAGCTTGAAATCACCACCAACACTTGATACCATCATAGGAACCCCAAATTTCATTCACCCAAAGCTTAAATTAAAGAGAATCCTACCCAATCTTGTGATCCATCTTCATGTGCCACTAAGGCAGGAAGAAAGGAAGGATTTCACCACCATTGGGAGCTTGCGAATGTGGATTCTTCAAGCTTTTGGTTATTATAAGTGAGCCTTGGTTGTTTTCCTTGAGTTTTTTTGGTTTTCATGAAATAGATTAGGATTTTATGACATTTTATTTAGGGGTTCTGAAAATTGTGCATTAATAATGTTATTGATGCTTAAATTATTGTGGTTTGATGTAGGAGTGTTGATTCTATTGCTGATTATATTTTGAAATCCCCGTTGAAATCTATGGAGGTTTAGGGTTATGTTCTTGGAATTGAAGAATTGAGTGTAAGCTCCCAAACTAAGATCTTGAGCCATTGAATATGTTAATTTGATAAGAGTAAATACCTTTTTTGATCCTCAGTAAATTTCACGATGCCCGCTTTAGTCCCTAGCAAATAAAAAGGCCCATTGTGATCCCTAGAAATTCAAAATGGACCCATTTAGTTGAAATTATGGTCCCTCATAAATTCAAAAAAGACCCATATTAGTCCCTAAAAGGACTAAAATGGGTCCATTTTGAATTTCTTAGGGATCACGATGGGCCTTTTTATTTGCTAGGGACTAAAGCGGACATCGTGAAATTTACTGAGGACTAAAAAATGTATTTACTCATTTGATAATTACATTGTGTTGAATGCATTGTTGACGGATGTAAGAACCTGCACCGCTAAATTAAGAATTTAAATAATTTAATTATGAGTTTAGGAAATAATTCCATAATTGACTTTGGATAAATATGGAAAGAGCATAATAATTAATATTAAGTCACTTATCTAAAGGAAAACACCGGGTATTTCGCGGTATAAATGGATAGCGGCGAAGTAATCCGAGAAATAGAAATAAAAATATGAATATTCCAAGAAAAATATATAGGCTAAGAATATCAAGTATGGGGTAAAATAATGAGCGGTGATGTCAGAACTAATACCGGCTATTTCGCAGTAGAAAATGTGTACTGGCAAAGTGTCTCGAAAAATTATAACAAAAATATGACAATTCCTAGAAAAATGTCTAGGTTAAGAATATAATTTTTTGTAAAAAAATGATTAGTAGAGCTATTAGAACTAATATTGTTGATTAGTGGGCACACTTATATAAATAGCTAAAGATCACAAAATCCTATGTTATTTCAGAAAATCTGTGCAGCCCCCTTTCTTCTCAACCTTGAACATTCTCTCCACCATTCCCAAGAAAGATTGTTCTTTTCTCCGTGGAAGTTCACAAAGAACACACTTTTATGCTTCATTTTTCTTCTTAGTCCTCTAAATATCCTTGAGAGCTTGTGATTAGTGAAAGAAAAATTCACTCTTGGGGCATTCAAGGTTCTATTTATTAGCATGTCTAGCTATACTCATGTATTCAAGCTATACCCAAGAGTACACTATTTTTCCGATTTTCTAGGAGATAGTTGTACAGTCAAAGTATAGCCCTAGGTGAATCATTTCAAGTGGGAAGCAATTCTATTTAGAGATAAAACTAAGGCCATTTTAGAGACCCACTCGCTAAGCGGTCCCCAAAGTATATGGATCATCTGAGAGCCTGGTCCAGCAAGCACATAAATGTCAAGAAAAGTGGCAAAAAGTAAAGGGACATGCATCAGCTCGAACAAGTATATAACTGTATAAGAACAACCCAAGGAAGCTCCATCATTGGCTGCCATCTCTAAATACCCATATCTAAGGAAGTCTTACATTATGTTTAATAAGAACTACTAAAGTTTTAAGTCTTTATATCGACGGAGCTTCAAACTATGAAATATACTATTCGGAACAAAATAACTTTTCACTAATGTTATAAATTATTATTATTTATTAATTAAAAAATAATTATATAAAGGGACAAATTAAGAAAAAGTTATATTATAATTTTAACATAATGAAAACAAAAATATTATACATGTTTTTAAATATGTTGTGCCGAAATAGTTTTGTAATTTTTTTTTTTAACTTTTTGCTTGAACTATACGGTTTAGTTCTTCTGTAGCATATATATGTTACGAAAATCTATGCAATGGGAGGTGCAAAAATATTTTCTCCAATTGAAATTACCGAATTTAGAAAAAAAAATTAAATTTGAAAGCACTGTAAAAAGTGCAATGCTTATGAAATCCTAGGCACGTGTCTTATGCAGCCAGAGTAAAGCTTGCAACATCCAATCTTACGTGGCACTTAATAGGCATGCAAAGCACAAATATTCTCCACGTGCCACCCTCCACCATCGTAGGACCTTACATCAACCGCACAAACCGCCGCTTCTCCCCTCTATAAACCGTAAAACCGCTTTATTCATTTCAATGTTAAAGAAACCCAAAAACCCTGGCCATTGCTTTAACCACCATGGAAACTCCTTCACCAACCCTGTCTCCACCACCATGGGAAGTGCTTGTACTCGTAGCTCACCACCTTGAACCCAAAACCCTAGCCATAGCTTCTTGTGTATCCAAGTCATGGTCATCTTCTATGTCCTCTGATCATCTTTGGAAACCCATCTTGGCCATTCATTTCCCGTCTCTATCAACCCTTCCACCACCCGCCGTCCCCTACAGCCGCCTCTTTGCCATAGCCCACTCTGCCGCCAAGCGCCGCTGCCAAAACCCCTCAAAGCCAAACCTTTTACTCAGCGACCTTGCCTTCGCCATTTCGATTTCCACCCACAACTCTCATGTCATCTTCACCACAACAAAAACATGTGACATGCTTCTCGTGGATCCCCCCGGCGTGTTCCGGTTCGGGGTTGGCTGCGACGGCATGGCGGTGAGCGAGGGATTGGAAGAGGTGAAGATTGCGTGGAATGTGATATTGAAGGGGTGGAGAGGGGTTTTCACCATGATGGATTGCAAGGGGAAGGTGGGGTTGCTACCTGGTGGCGAGGGTTGGTTCTCCCAAGAGCTTCCGGCACCGGGTTGTTGCTCGAATGCGGTGGCGAGTGCGGTGGTGGCAGATTTGAAGTTAGGAATGTGTGGTTGTAAGGGGAGTGATGATGGGAAGGTGAAGGTGAACAAGGTGAACGTGGGGATTTTGAGTGTTGTAGATTGGAGGTATGTTGGTGTGGAAGATGGTCTTAGGTACTTGCAACATTTTCTTCTCACTTACAATGGATTGTAGGTTTGTAACTCATAAAATAAAACTCCTTTTTGTCTTCTATCCATGGAGCTATATTAATATGGTTTGGTCTTTTTCCTTTTAAAGGACATATATTCAGAGAGGCATTTTTTATTTAAATTTTAAATAAAAAATGATTAGTTTTAACTAAAGATCATCCTTATATGAGTCCATCGTATAATATTTCAACCCTTCAATCCCAAGAATAACATGTGAGTTATAAGAGTAATGTTAAAAATTTAACTATTATATCTTAGGGTGTACATCGTTGGAATTGAATTGAATTGAATTTTCAAACATTTCCATTCAAAAATGGTTCGAATTGAATTGAATTTTAAAATGGTTTGAATTGAATTGAATTTTCAAACAGTTCTCTAATATATTTAGTATACACAGCGGAAGACTTTATTTTAAAAGAAAAATAAAAAAATAAAATGTCTTACAAAAATATGAATAAATTTTTTTCAAAATGTTTTTTGAAACATTTCAAAAAAATGTTCACGTGAGACACTTGAATAACATCAAGTGTCATTCTTGGCGTAGTCTCACGGACAACATAACTGCTGTATATCAGATACTGGAAACATGGGTTCCACACATACAGTTGACTTGATAAATATAATAATTTAAACAGACAGCTCGCAAGTTCCACACGGACTGTGATCCCCTCTCGGGTCAAAACAAACGATAAGGCTCCATGCCCAAATTAACTGAACGCATATATCAAGTCTATATTAACTCAAAAATATAAAAACATTATTAAATAATCCATGGCCCTAAAGATAGAATCATGAGCCTAAATAAATACATAACATAATCTCCGTATAAAATAATTAAGCATGTTAACAAATCTACATGCCATCATAAAGTCTAAACGTAATATAAAATAATCAGCTACATCATCAACTACTCCAATGCGAGGACCTTGTCCCTAGAAGCATCTCCACTATTCTGGGTACCTGAAATGATGTCCCCAAACGGGGTGAGAACCACATCTCAGTAAGCTCAAGGTTCATAAAGGATCCTCTAATCCTCTGAGCTCACTTCCTGCATGACAAGTAAGATATAAAGCATATAATACAGACATACAACATAAACATAGCATCATCATATCATCCTTGTGCAACCACAGGGTCAAAGCTATCATGTGTGACTCCAAGGTCAAGCCATAGACAGTCAACACAACCTCTGTATGAAATAACTCCCAGAGTCTAGTCATGGATAACCTACATACCATAATCACTGGCCAGATTCTCATAACATATATCATCAGTGCATCATCATAACATCAAGAATTATATAACATTTATATGAATGTGAATGAATGCATATATACGTCATACCACATACTTTCATACAATACAATCATAATACCCACCATCATGATGGGGCCACAAGAAAGAGGATGCAACTAGAATTAGGAGCTTATCTCACTGAGCTTATCTCAAGCCCAACTCGCACAGTAAAATACGTATGCTCTAACAGACTCTCAAGTGCCAAGCTCTCTAGGCAAACCTAGAGCAGGAATCATTTACATCATTAATACACAATCCATTAATGATTCCAATTTCCATTCTTACATGCCCATATATGTCCATTACAAGTCTAGACCAATTATTACATAATTACGTATTTTAGTGCATTATGAAGTGTTCACTTATTACACAATCTATCATGTAGTTTTAGCACTTTACATAATCTTAGAATCGCACTCTATGATCACAAGGTTAACTTAAATTATTTTCAATTCATTCAAGCCGTATATAATTATTATAAGTTACAAAGAGTTCCCATAAGTTCACTTAGACTAAATATCACTTTTACGATTTTCTCATAACTGTACATGCTTCTGTTTTCTAGTCAATGTGCGTAACTCACTTATTATAAAATTCTCATCTTTTATTATGTTAATTTAGACTCAATTACCTTTCTAACAAGGTATCACATGCCGCATTTGGAGTTTTCTAGCTCCGTTTATCACCATCTGAAGTTGGACAAACAAAGCTGCATGCCAACTCCGAACAGAGCCCTAAACATCCTTTACCATTTTTACGATTCTGGAAAATTTATTAAACCAATTACTCTCAACTTTTTATCTAGACAACTAGACACATTCAACTTTAATTAGACCTATTATGATCCTAATTTGAGTAAGAAAAGATGGAGAAACAATTCGTGGAAGTTGCAGCCTGTACAGCCCCTGCACATGGCCTCCCAGGACAGTCTCACTCAAATGAATATACAGAATGATATACATCTTCAATTGGTACCAAATTTTGATACCACATAGCTAACACCTCAAGCTTCAAAATGATATAAGGAACAACCCTGTATGACCTCTGTGGAAGGAGATATACTCTTCTCAAGTTAGCTTAAAAACTGGTTATTTAGCCCTAAGTGTGTTTACTTAATAAACCTTATTTACTTTTGGTTAACAACCCTAATTTGCTTTAATAATTGGATTTTTCTATTATTAGGCCACTTTATGAAATCTCCTTAGTCACATTATATAACACCTCATAATTCTAAATGTATAATTACATATGATAATGTGGATTAAAGGGGTAGGATTAGTGAAAATCCTGAAATTAGGGTCAAAATACGTAAAAGGGAAAAATGGTAATTTACCAAACACGTATCCCTAGGCATAAAAAATTGAGTAGAAGGTCTCAAATGATAAAAATAATGCCAAAAATAGATTCAGGGCAAAAAATCGAGTGGATAGGAAAGTTTCGAAAAATTTGATGAATAATGATTTTTTTTTTTTGGATAACAATAAAGGGCATAGCCCCAAACAAAACACAACAGAAACTAAAAAAAACTAACAAACTATCCAGGGTCTATAATCCCCTGGAGATCTTGATCAAAAAGTTGAGCAAGCCGATTTGGCATGATTTGATGATGCCAAAATCCAGTGTCTTTCTGAAGAGCAGACTTAGCTAACCAATCTGTACATGTATTTGCTTCTCTTGGAATATGATTAAGTGTTACCTCCTAGTCCTGAGCAATAAGTGCTTGTATCTTAGCCACTATTCGTGGCTGACAAGCTGCATTGCAATCTGCAAGAATAGAGAAAATTTCATAAGCATCTCCTTCTAGTTCCACCTTCTTAAACCCCATTTGCCAGCCCATCTTCAAACCTTTAAGGGTTCCCCAAAATTCTACCATAATTGGGGTACAGGCACCAATATGATACTCAAAACCTCCTAGCCATGAACCATCAGCAGATCGGATTAACCCACCCCAAGCAGCCCTTTCGCTAATCCTTTCGACCGCTCCATCTACGTTGATCTTCACCTAATTTATTCGCGGTGGTAACCACTTAACTGTACGAATATTACTAGAGCTACTAGTCTGCAATAGCTTTCTGCCCCTACTGTTGCGCAGCTCCTCAACATACATACGAATTAATTTCAACCCATGATTGGGATGAATGAAACTAGAATCATGGACACTTCTATTCCTTCAGCCCCATAAGAACCAACAAGAGTTGAAAAATAAATCACGCCAATCATCTAGGCTATCATGGCTCCAAGTTATTGTAATATTCTTTTCAACCCAGCCTCTAAAGTCCAAGCTATAGAATGATCGCACATGATTAGGTAAGACCAGAGAGTCCCAGATTCCACGAGCATGCTTGCAATCTCGCAAGACATGGAGGTTCGTTTCAGCTCACCAGGACAGCACAAACAGAAACTGTGACCACCACTCTAAGTAGCTGTTCGATCCTTAGTAAGAAGTTGACCATGCGTAATTATCCACATGCATGATTTAACTCTCGGAGGGCCATTCCATTTCCACAAGCTAGTCCAAGTATTTTGCACTCAAGAGGAAAATTAAGCATAGAACAATACACAACTTTTACCAATGAACAACCCACCTTCTGATTCTTCCAAATAATACGATCATGTCCAGCTGACTCGCAAGGAGTAAGAATTGCAGAGATTCTTGCATTAACATGGTCGGTGAAATATTGATGCATGTAAGAAAAATTCCATTGACCATCGTTATTCACAAAATGACTAACAGGAATATGCAAATCATTCAATGCAGGCATAGATGTAGCTAGGGATACAAGACTTTCTGATAAACCATGCCAATTATCTTTCTAGAATATTGTGTCATTACCATCACCAATCTCCCAACGAGTTGCTTGAAGAAACAAAGGCCAAACACTACACAGATTTTTCCAGAAGTATGAATCATAGGCTTTGTGAATCACCTCCCTTCGAAGATCCACCCCTCTCCTATATTTGCTAGAAATAACACGAGCTTACAACGAGTGAGGCTAGTTAATCAAATTCCAAGGAAGCTTATAAAAGAAAGCTCTATTCTGGATTCAAAGGTTGATCACCCCTAAACCACCCATGCACTTAGGTTTATAAAGATTATCCCAAGCAACAAGATGAGTCCTCCTTTGATCATTTGTGTCACCCCATATAAAAGCTCTATGCAGTTTCTCTATTTCATCACAAATAGCTACAGGTAGCAGGTTGTTCTGCATCTGGAAGATAGGTGTTGGGTGGTTTGCTGATGGTGGAAAAATATAATTTCTGATGGGGACGTTCCTCTGTTCTTGCAGATCACAGATTCGTCCCTTAGTTCCAACCCAAGTGCGCAAGTGCACGCATTAAGTAATAAAGAGAGTATTAATGCCCAAATTATCGTTCCCACGAGGATAGAGTGCTAATTATTGTTTTATCACTGTTTATATAGAGTGAAAATGAGAAGAAAAGTTAGTAAATGAACTGTCTGGTCAAACGTTTCCTACTGTCTTTACAACGTTCCTCAGGAACAGTAGGTTCAATCTTATGGCAAACAGTTGCTCGTTGCGTTATGTATGTGATCCTTTCTGTTTAGAAGAAGGTGAGATAACAATCATTGGAGTTTTTATAAGTACTAAATAAAATAAAAACTACTAAAACAGAAATAACTATAATCAAGAGACAACAGGGTGGTGGTTAAAACAGTTTAACAGAAGGAACAGAGTCACTGCTTCACTC